TGTTACCTACCAAGGGAGGTACTTGACTTGATGGCCTGAAGAGTTCAGGAAGGAGTCTGATGTTAGACAGGGAACAGGTGGAAGAGGACCTGCAGAGGTTTAAGTATGTGCTGGAGGAAGAATGAAAGTTGGTAGAAGCAATGAGGGAATGAGAGGGACATGGAGGGAAAGGTGAACATGGAAAACATGGAGGTTCTGAGGGTAGACGAGTTTAAATACCTGGAGTCCAACCACAAAACCAACAGACGGTTCACAAGAGGGGGGAAGAAGAGAGTGCAGACAGGCTGGAGTGGGCGGAGACGAGTGTCAGGGGTGATGTGTAACCAAAGGATAGCAGCAGGATGTCATGTGGCGATGTGAAGCAGGCAGGATGACGACCAAAAATGCGGACTCATAGGCAGGACTTCACTCAAACACAGCTTTGTTGATGGAGTGCCAGAAATACAAAGCTAGACTTGGATACACAGGAAAACAAAACAGTTTAATTTGGTCATTATTTAAAGTATTGTTTAGATGTTTCTGTGATATTGTAGAACAGAATAGCTCTTTATTATCATCGTACATATACTCACCGCTAATTCAGAGCAGCCACACATCCATTACCTGCTTTATGTGCAAAGACCTGGATCTATACTGTGGATGCAGGTCTTTGTTAGATTTGTAGAGTCAAGTAAAAGAAATGAGAACAAATGATGTGTTTTTGTGACAGGCTGCTAGTAACAAAGAGCAGAAAAGACGGCACTATGTTAAGTGTCTTTTTTTATTCTTGAATGATTGATAGGTAAGTGTTACGCAACTTAACCAAAAGAAATCTCCTTTGGAAATAATGCCTGACAAGCACGGCTCTGAGTGAGTGAACAAGCAGCCAATGTGCAAAGAGAAATTTTGCATTTTGATTAGAAAGCGGGAAAAATATTGAGTAATTTCTTTCTGCAAAATTGACAGCGTATGTTTTAATCCACACGCCTGGTGAATTTTAATGCTCACATCATAAGTAGCAGTGTTGAATATAGCTCTGCCTTTCCTCCTGTCTGTCAGGTGGGTCATCTGATCCAACAGGCTTCAGGCAGCAGCAACCTGAAGAAAGTCACTTTGGAGCTGGGAGGAAAGAGCCCCAACATCATCCTGTCTGATGCTGACAGTACGTCCTCTGACTTCCTTTGCAGTACACACTGTATATAGTATGTTTAGAAACCTGTATCCTATTGTTGAAGACACTTTTTCCCATCTTTGTGTAAACTTTGAGGCCTTATTAGGACTGAGCAGTTGGATACATAAAGGTCTTCTGCTTTGTGGCAGCTACAATGTTACCACTGGACAGTCCAAGAATCTTTGTGTTGCTTCTGTTTTAAGATCGTCTCCAGTGAACGTTTCTCTGTTTCTTCCCTGATTCAGTGGAGTACGCTGTGGAGCAGTCCCACTTTGCTCTGTTTTTCAACCAAGGCCAGTGTTGCTGTGCTGGCTCTCGAACGTATGTCCAAGCTGATGTGTACGACGAGTTTGTGGAGCGCAGTGTGGAGCGAGCCAAG